GACCACAATTGAAAGTAATTTGGAAGGTATAAAATTCGGAAGGATAGTTAATCTTCTTCAGGGTTTGGACATAACCTGCCACTGCACGGAGGAGAGTTTTTCGTCAATGGCTTTAATGAGGGTGAAGAAGATCATCTCTATGTATTCCTCTACAGTTTGGTCAATCTTTAGGTTGAGGTCGAAGAACGGTGAGTTGAGGATATCGACGTTTCCTTGTTCGTCGTAAATGAACCCGTGATCTTGTTCATGATTAGCCATACAATAGTGGACAACAACTTCAAGGTTTGGGAACTTTTGGACAGCAATCAGAGACCTCTCCAAGCGGCTGTACAGCAAGGAAGAGTGCTGAAATATCTGGACAGCCACCAAATAACGTCCAAAAAATCTGGACAGCAACTTGGAAGCTTATAATTGGGGATTAGGAGCTGTTTTTGGGAGAGAATACTTGGTAGAAAATTAAGAGGAGCAAGGGTATTGGCGGCTGATCTTGGAGAAGTTTGAGAGGTTGATTGGATAGGTTAATGGGGTGTGTTAACTAGATAGGAGAGAGAGGGAGGGGAGGCATAGGCTGGGATTTGATTGGGATTAGGTTTAGGCAAGGTTCATTGAGATTTGGAAGCTTTTCTAATTAAAGGAGAGAGGGGCAAAGAGGGGGGGGGGGGGGTGCGTGGCTATTGGAAGGGGAAGGGGATTTGTGGAGGGTTTTAATTTGTTTCCAAACAAGGTAAATTAAATTAAAGTGATTTAATCATGAAGATCTATTTAATTTGAATTCAAATTTGAATTGATTTGATTTTGGAAATTTTGCAAATATAGCTTGACTAATTTAGGAAAGAATTTCAATATGATTAGAATTGAAATTTGAATTTGAAATCTTCCCAAATTGAGATACACTAAATATGGAAAGTAACTAATTAGGGAGTTGAGAATTTGGAGGCAAAGGAGGGGAGCTATGGCTAGGGAAAATTGGGGTTGGGGCTGGCGTCCAATTAAGGGGGCTAGATTTTGGTGGTGGCGGCTAGGAGAGAAGGAAGGGCTTTTGGGAGTTGGTGGCTAGGAGAGGAGGGATCCTTGTGGCTATTGGAAGGGGAAGGGGATTTATGGAGGGTTTTAATTTGTTTCCAAACAAGGTAAATTAAATTAAAGTGATTTAATCATGAAGATCTATTTAATTTGAATTCAAATTTGAATTGATTTGATTTTGGAAACTTTCCAAATATAGCTTGACTAATTTAGGAAAGAATTTCAATATGATTAGAATTGAAATTTGAATTTGAAATCTTCCCAAATTGAGATACACTAAATATGGAAAGTAACTAATTAGGGACTTGAGAATTTTGAGGCAAATGAGGGGAGCTATGGCTGGCGGCTAGGGAAAATTGGGGTTGGGGCTGGCGTCCAAGTAAGGGGGCTAGATTTTGGTGGCGGCGGCTAGGAGAGAAGGAAGGGCTTTTGGGAGTTGGTGGCTAGGAGAGGAGGGCTCCTTGTGGCCAGCGGCTTGAAAGAAGGGGTAGATGGGTGGTCGACCTAAGTGGAGGGATGGTGGTGGGGATTTGGCCGAGAGGTGCAGAGGGGATGGCCGGCGGATGGAGGAGGAGGGGAAGAAAGAAAGCAAATAAAGATGACCATGAGCCCGGACGCTTCCTGCTACTGGTGGGTGACCCGATTCCCTCACCTAGGGTTCTCTCCAAAGCTTTCTCACAACCTCACAAGGAACAAGTTATTGAAATTTCATAATATCATTCATTAGTCCTCAAAGGAGGATGAGGCTTTAAATAGCCAATACAATGAAGAAAAATACAAATACCAACTTGTTCTTAGGGCATACACATGACTAGACCCTCAAGTGGGGTATAAAAGGAAAAGTACAATAAAACTCACAAACTAATACATCAAATATAACTCTAATACAATGATAATCAAAAGTAGAGCGGTGCGATCGTGGCCGTAGATTGACGACTACGCCTCTGGTAGACTCTCCAAGGTCAGATGTCCTCATCATCTGGTGTATGATAAATATTCGAGCAATGCCGTGCAACTTCATGCTTGTTGTTCGTCGATTTTGACCGCCTTTGCTCGAAATGATCATGAGTTGTTCCCCCTTGGGTAATTTTGATGTTTTGATTACAACGACACAGTCTGTTTCATGATTGAAAGTCGTTTGGTCATATTTGTGCATCGTCTCGCCTGCCAACAGTCGTGCTCATTGTTATTTTTTATTGAGTTAAGCAAAAGTGACTCTTTTTGGCAAATCCGACATATTGAGTGCATCGGTGCAATCCGTTTCTTAAGCAAACATTGTTCGAGTGATTTCAACCACGATCGAGGTGCTTCGATGCTTGTCATGTGTGATGTTAGCTGGTCATTTTTCTTGGCGCACTCAATTGAACGTGGCATGCATATATAGTTCAACAAAAAGCTGCATATGATTCTTACAAAATTAATTGGAACACTATTATATAGAAGATCAAATTTATAATTGAGTCCAACCAGGAAATTATATACTTTGCTCTTATTAACAAATTTCTTTGTTAACCTCTATGTAATAACCAAGAAATTACATACCTCGTATACATCAAGAAATAGATCGAATCTCCCGAAATCCAGCAAGAAATCCCGCTGAATTCCTGTAGCTCGGCGCCGTTGCGTCGCTTCTCCGGAAACTCTGCCCAAATCGCGTGCCAACTAGACGCCTTTCGCAACGTTAAATAACGAAGGAGATGAAGGCTTCGGCTGCTGCTTCCACACGACCGAACCCCGCACGACTCCTCTTCCACTCTCCACTCCCGTAAGAAATCCCTCTCCCACAATCGCAAGCTTCCGATCCTTTCTCTGCCTTTGCCGATCCCGATCTCAAAGAAGGAGAGAGAGAGAGAGAGAGAGAGAGAGAGGAGCTCTCTCACCTTCTGATTCCAAACAGCCAACGAGACCCCTTCTCCGGCCCTTCGTGGTCATTCGACTTCACCTACTCCGACGACTTTCCCTCCTGAGGGATCGGAAGTCACAACATTTTGATCGGACAAAACCACGGGAGCTCGCCCCTTCTCCGACCCCTCAGGTGCTGTTCGACTTCGCTCCTTCCCCAACTTTCCATTCCCGTAGAATCGAAAGTTAAGACATTTTGATCGGGAGTAGCCACGGGAGCTTGATAGCTGTGAAGCTAACTCTCTCCCTTTCACGCTTCTTTCGGCCAAATCCCGCAAAATGAGGGCGAAATCTCTGGGTAGTGTCTTATCTACAAACCCATCTGCCTTCCAAATTTACCTCGGAACTTAGTTCGTTAAAACTCCCTCGCCGAATAAGAAAAACGAGTGGAGGCCGGGGCCGAATATTCGGAGTCCACATTCTTCAAGATGGCATTTGTTGAACCATTAATCTCAAATGCTATATAGTGATTAAATTCCTACCACCACTATAGTTTGTTTCTATATTTGTTCATTTTGCCTAATTTTTAGACAATTGGCCTGCATCACAATCTTTTGAATATGTTCAAATGGAGTAACATACCTCTTTTGTAATTGTAAGAAACATGTATCACTAACTGAGGGATTCCATTGTGCCCCATAGATATTATGTGTGAAGGAATCAACCAAAAACGTGATGAGGGAGACCTTGCTGTCGGTGCCAAATATGAAACACAATGATGAAAGAGAAGATAAAAATGATAAAACATGATGATGATGATGATAAAGGATGAAAACAATAGGAGAGACATGATGATGATGATGAAGGTAGAATCATGCTAGAAAACCCATAAAAAAGCCTAGGAATTTGATAGCATGGTGGGAAAAAGGGTAGGGAAAGATGATTTCACATTGAATTAGAAATTAGTGGTACACGGCAATATATAGTCTATTATGGGAGGAAATAATAGGAAACTAATATAGCCAAATAATAATAAAAAAGTTTATAGTATACTTCCCACAATAACTTCCCAACTAAATATATACATGATTTATTTTCTAATAATTAGGCTACAATAGTGTCATTATCATCAAGTCTTTATCCCACTATATGGGGTCAGCTACAATAGTGTACAAGACAATAAAATGATTAATCAAACTATCAATTTGCTCGGTTGCGAAAGCTTGCTGGATAGATCTAAAAGGATTTTAGTGAGTTCTTGGTTACCTATTTAATTGTGTTTATTCCTTTATCCCTTCTCTAACTATTGACCAATTCCTCTCCCAGTAACCCTAGCTGGCTTCTCTCTCGCTCTCTATGCACTACCCCAAAACATTAAACATCCCACTTAGCTATTGACCACCTTCTTCCTACACAAAACACTAAAGGAGGAGCTCTTTGGTTTTGCTTCCCTCAACCCTAAACCTCACCCAATCATCCACAAGGTTTCTTGAAGCTTAGTATCCTCTCACCCCTCATGGCCAAGGTTACAAGCATTCATATCCGAGCACTTACTTCTTACAAACCTACAAAATAATTTCCACAATCTACAACTCTCTGCTACCATCCAATGCATCATTCACATAAACCCTAACAAACCTCTAAATACACCAAAAGTCCTCACCAATGTTGCTGCACACCACCACAAGTAGTTCTTTCCCTCTTCCATCAAGCTCCTCCTATGACCACCGCCTCACTTTACAATGTAGAAAAAATACTGAAGCCAACTCCTTTTTTTTTGTTATTAGAAATTCAAGTCTTATACTGGCTTGTTTTATAGATAAAAAACCCATGTAATTATATGCATATGATTCTCTTTGATGGATTGCTCTGCCCAACTACTGTTGTTCCTTTTGTTTCTAAATTGTCATTTCAGCTTCTGGCTAAAAGCTTAAATAATATAAATAATTAACAGTTAGCTCTAATTCTTTTAACAATGCATCGTTTAGTTATCAGTTTCTATTAGACACCATGTTTATTCTGGTTAGTTGACAATGGTGTTTCTGATATAGTGTTTTATAAATTTGGTGCAGCGAATTGATTATTAATCTGTATAAGCATTGGATAGTGATCTTACTTTGGTTTGTACTGTTCAGGTCATAGTTTCAACATAAAAAGTAATGAAAGTATTGAACAGTCATTTTCTTGGTCATATATCAGAAAGGCCCATCGGAGGAAATCTCTTCAACTATATGGTTTATTTGGTGGAAAAAAGGATAAGAGTGAAAATACTGATGACGTGCCATCGAAGGTAAGAACAAAAAGGTTTTCTTTGTTCTATTTATTTGTATTTGGTTTTACTTTTAGAGTTTGAATGTGTTGCTAATTCTACAAATTTAAATGATATAAACAGTCTAATTTGTATACTTTCTTGATGTTGGCTAATAGGCATTTTGTGATTAAGTGCAGCGATTTTAGTGTGTTGTATAGTTAAAAATTGGCTTTACTTCATTGCTACAGCTTGCGGACTGTGCATGCATTATATAGACCTTCCTTTTACCGAAGTTACTTTTTTTTTCTATTGTTTTTTTATTACAGCTACAGTTTCTACAGCATTAGCAAATAAGATTGAGTGAAAGAAATTGGTCTGCTGACTAATAGTCCCTTTGTTGTTTGTTTGTGCAATTAGCAAGCCATGCCCGTTTTATAACTTTTTGAGGTTCCGCTTGTACAGATGGGCGTTTTCTTACTTTTTGGTGAGATATTTGTGAGTTGGACATTTCCTAAGCTGCATTTACAGATCTTTTGGTACCAGTCACACAATTTCTTGTTGCTGAAGAAGTAAAAAATATTTCCTACGTGGCATGGATAGGGCAGACCAAGGATGGTCCTGGATATATCTCAGACATGGAATATCCTTTTGCTTGAGTCCTTTCCTTTGTGTATCATCCAAGTGAATTTTTTTCATGATTACTGTTTGGCTACCTGTGGATGGGTATACCTTCATTTGTTTGATGATGCAATTGATGCCGAGAAGATGTTCTGATAGTAAAAAAATTATAATTTTGTAGCTTCCAGCTCTGATATTTTTGGATTACAAATATTGTATTAATTTTCAAGTACAAACAGACATACCATGAAGTTACTTATGAATATATTTAATTTCTACTTCTTTCCATCTTCACAAAGGTAATCATGATCATTCATTTTACATATTAAGGGGTTGGCGTTGAAGTTTACATCAAGATCATGCTTTGTAACATTTATCAAGTTTACTTCTTAGCCTTAATTTTATTTGCATCCTTTTTAGAAACTGAAAATAGCTTTGTTTATATATGTTGTCTGTTGCAGGCAGGGATTCTAGGTAATATGCAAAATTTGTATGAGACTGTTAAGAAGGCCCAAATGGTAGTTCAGGTTGAAGCTGTCCGTGTTCAGCAAGAACTTGCTGCGTAGGAATTACTTATTTATTTCTTAGCTATTCAATTTATATCTCTGTTAGAATTCTCTAAATACATGTTGAGTCAATTTGTTTTCAGGGAAGAGTTTGATGGTTATTGTGAGGGTGAGCTAGTCAAGGTATATTCATGATAAATTTAAGTCTTGTTTGCATTAAAAACAGTTAAAAATCTTTCCATATTAATGATCATTATAAAGATTTAATTTAGATGGATTCAATACATTTATTTTGTGAAATTGGGCTTTATCCTTAATTTACTGGTTGGGATCTTTCTTGAGTTCATATTTGCATTTTCATACCGATCCAGATGAAAATTTGTTGTCTGCATGTTTTATGATTTGTCAGGTAACACTTTCAGGCAATCAACAACCAGTACGCACTGAAATCACTGAGGCTGCAATGGAATTAGGTGCTGAAGTAAGCACTTATCTTGACCTTATTTTGATGATAATATCTTTGTGATGTAACTGTTGATTAATATCTTCCAATGTAGTACCTATAATATTAGATAGTGGATGATATGCTCAATTAATTACTTTTAAAGAAAATGATTTATCTGAGGCTGATTTTTTCTTATGAACTAACGTAAACTAGTTTTGCTGCTATGCATTGCATGATTTACTTATTATTGGTACTTCCGTTCTTTGGATGATAACAAATTTGCTTTCAAAGCCTTTCTGCAGCGACTACTGTTTAAATGTTGCTTCTCTTTTCCAGATTTTCTTGGGCTACATCTTTCTGGTTCTAAAATCACAATGTGTTTTTTTCTCACCTCTATTTGCAACTGCAGCACAGTGTCTGTTTTTTCCTCTTTTAAAATTACCTGGTCAGCGTGCAACTTGCTTTGAATTTTGTATGGGATACTTGTTTTAATTTTTTGAGGATTTGGTTAATAATCCAATGGTAGCTAGAAGTTTTTGAAAGTGATAGTAGTAGCTGACAGTTTCAAATTTAAGCAATTAATGATTATTTTTTGTAAGGTTGCAATGGAACAAAATAGTTAAGGCATGTGGTGTGGGTGCTGAAGTTTGTATGTTTATTCTAGAAGTCATGGAGAATTAAGATTTTTATTTTTATTATGGTTTTAAAATTTAAACTATCTTGTAACAAATAAATGCTAGGGAGATAGGGAGATTAGGGAGGGGCTTATATAGTTGGGTGTTCGATTAAGGGATTGAGATTTTTGTGAAGAGCCATATTTTATTTGAAGCGGACAAAGTATTAAACCCAGTAAAAGGAAATGATTGTAGGGAGAGGGCGCTAATAATCTGTGTGGTAGATAAATTGAACTCAAAGGTTTTCTGACTCTAATTCCTAACTTACTGGTGATATTTGCTTAGAAGATGTTGAAATATTCTTTGTTATAAGTCAAACCTACCAAGAAAATCTGTTATCATTTGATGTGCCAAGGATTTGTTTCTTGAATATTAGAATAAATCTTAATAGTTCATGCAATGCTATGGCCTATGGCCCACTATCATGATTCATGAGTGGTAGAAGATAGGGTCATGAATTGTTTTGGAAAAAGAAATTTCTGTAGCATTTATAATTACATGGATATAGTGAAAATAAAAGTTTTTCAGACTTGGAAAACTTGAGCAAGAGCCTAGGAGTTAAATATTGTGCCTTTTAATCTCCCTCCCTCTTGTGGTTTATATGGAATGTCTAACAATTTAAACTATTTAAAGTAGCAGTTGCAAATAGTGCAAGTTTATATGAGAGAGTGACGGAGGATGATGCAAAGAGATTTAATGGAAGATTTGCTGAAGCCTTGAAGGAAAGAAAGAGGGATTAGGAAGAAAAGAGATGGAGAAGAATTTGACATACAACTTAAGAGGAACAAAAGTATGCAAAACATCATTTTTATTCTAATAATCATAATTGGACTATTGCATATTTTTTATAATAGAAGATTTTATAAGATAAACATTGATAATTAAATTTATTCTAAAGGACGATTAGCGTCAATTGACTCATTTTTAGATCAGAAGAAAAGTGCACAATGATATTCAAAGATCCTGAAGAAAGTTAATCAAGTGGATTGAAAAATGTATGAAGTCATTTTAAAATGTTTGTTTTGTAGCCGACTATGTCTTGTTGATGCTGACTATGATATTCACTACCTACAATAGCTAAGGCTTATTTAACTCAACATCATAGTCATGATCAATAGTAGACATATCACCTCATAAGCCTAAACAACATGATCCCGAGTCATAAATTACTCGCTAAAATTAGGAATGTTGTCTTGATCTATTAGAGTATTTGAACTAATAAAAAAAATAAAAGGATTAGAACTCTAATAATGTCTTAAGCATCTCTTGTGAGATAAAAAATAATACATTTTGCATAATCAATGATATGAGTAAAAAGTTTATTCAATTTCTACCTTCTTAGTTCATACCTAATAAATGCTGATTTGGGAGAATTTGACAACATCCAAAGCTATTAGCTATGCCATAAAATTCTAAAAGTGCCTTAGAATCATTATCCTAAGAAAGGTAGATCAAAATTTATATGGCTTGCAAAGGGCAGGGCAGTGAGTTGCCAATATCTAAAGCATTGACAATTTTATGTGTTACTTTCAAGAAACATCCCTAAAACTCTCCACTTCACATTGCAAAGTCCCTAATTTTTATGAATGATATTTTAGTTCAAGATTGGTACATTAAGATCCATCCCTTATCGTGACTGAGCCACCTTATAATAATCTTTAATATTGTTTTTAAAGGAAAAAATATTCTTCCTTATAATTTACTCAATCATGGTGTAGTTGTAAGGTAATACGAAAACTATAAGCCAAATGACATTATAAGATCACATTTCTAATTCTATTCAAGAAATTTAAGCAAATGCCTGTACGTCATTATGTTCGATGAAGCTTCAAAATAGTTGCAATACCTAGTGCCTCAAAAACTAGCAAAGTATGGCCTTCATAAAATCCCAAAGCTATGCTTGCCCTCGTTCCAAACAAAGAGGCTCAATTGAAATTGAGAAAAAAAAAAAAAAGAAAAATTCCCTAGAATATTAGCACCGACTCTATTACCCATTTAATAAATTTAAGGAAAAAGTATAACACTTGCAAGGAATTAGAGAGGCCAAGGTGCTCAAATTAAATTTATGAGATTTTATTTCAGTCGCTCTTTTTATTTTATAACTTATTACAAGAATCAAGAAAGATATAAGGTTAGTCAAATGCCATTCCGACTCACATTTGAGATAATTCAGACTCTTAAATGATCACTCAAATGTTAACATAATTGCTCAATCGAGCCATCCAAAAGTCTCAACCTAGAAGGTGAGTCATTCAAGCTCCGTTTACTTGTATGTAATCTTATTGATTGTCTTCATTACCCTAGAGGTCCTATTTCATTAAAGAATCAGAACTCAACATTGCATTGGGTTAGAATTGGCAGGCTAGACTCCACCGCTAGGGGAAGAGGAAATGATAAAAAAGGGCTATACCGGAATGAAAAATAGAAAGGTATGGCACCACAACAAAGTAGACTAGAAGAGTAGACCCATAACCCAAGAGAACTTGACTTCACAATTGAATTTCTTAAGCCAGATTGCTTGGAAAAAAACTATGAAACAAATTAAGATAAGTTCGGTCGTATTGAAGATGAGTTCTATACTTCTATTTAGAAAAATCAAGGATTAGATGTAAAGATTAAAAGAGTTGCTACAAGTGTCCTCTATATATGATTTATTTGTTGAAACATCTCTAAATTGGTTATATCATAAGAAGGTTCCATAGCCTTCTTTGAAGACTTATTGCCTTAACACCAGTCCCCTTTTGACAATGAAAGATGGCTCCATCAAGGAGCATAATAAAATTAATGAAGGTCTATCTCACCAATTCAACTATCAAATCATACATCAAAATGATTAGTATTTGAATCATTACAAAATTTGAAACTTCCCAAGGAATTCATCATAAATTTTCCCTTAAATTTGAGGGGTATCTTTCTTTAACAGAGTTGGCGCAATGCATTCCTCCACATCATTAATGACTTGAATATAAATATTATAAACTCCTTTTCTAGAATTCTCCAAAGTACTTTTGGAACTTTATCCTAAGCTTCAAAATGAAAAAAATAAAGGAAAAATAGAAAAGGAGAAAGGAGACTGAGCAAGGAGAATAACTAAATGAATCAACACCTATATACATTTATGCATACATAAAGAAATAAGACCGATTTATACTAAATTTATTTAAAGTAGAATACATAGAATATCTCCTATAAGGTTGGATCTTTCCTCTAAACTTGGTTCTTTTTTCTTGTTCTCTCTAACTCTTGATTCTATCTATTATGTTTGATCTTACAAGGGATGCTTAAGACATTACTAGTGCTATGATCCTTTTTTTTTATTAGTTCAAATGCTCTAATGGATCAAGACAACATTCCTGATTTTAGGGTGTAATTTATGGCTCGGGATTATGTTGTTTAGGCTTATGAGAGTCATGAGCCATTACTATTGATCATGACTTTGACATTGACCTAGATGAGCCTTATATTATTTACTCATCAATGCTAAATGGAAAGGATCTATCAATCGAATTGAGCGCTATAAAAACTCCAAGCATGACTGATGCAAACCAACTTTGCCATCAGGCTGGACCTCCCTTACTGCCACAGCATGCAAAGCAATGGACATCCCCAAGATGGTGCACTCATGGCTTCTCAGTCCCCAAACACTTTCGTTTCCCTAATTTGATTCCTTCTCTTCCACCCTCATTCTGCATCTTGAATTATTTTTGTTCATTTTTTGCAATTTTATATTTTAAATACATTTAACTAAGCAAAGAAAGACATATTTTTAAATTGACATTACAACTAAGCACTTCAAAGAAAGCATAATCCAATGTATTTGTTCTACACCACATTATAACAATACATCTGTTTTAAATAAAATTCTATCAAACGGCCTCTATGTATTTTCTTTTATTAGAGCTCCCTTTAATTTAACTGTTTTTAACTTCCCTCATAATTTTTAAAGTTTCACTTTTATAAATACCTCAAATTTCAAGCTTTGGAACCCTTCCCTTGCTTTAAATGCTTACGCTTTTCTGCTTGTTTTTTCTCTGACAATGAAACACCACTTCATGAGATTGTTTTTTCCTCTCCCTTCCCCTTTAGTAGTGGCCGCTTTTTGATGATTAAATATTTGAAAGTCTAAAGGTCTGTTTGGATTCTTAAGGAAAGTGTCATGTAATTTTGAGGCTGATCATTTGAATAAAGAAGTTTCGTGGTTTTGTGGCTATTTGTTGCCTCAGTTTTTAAGGTTCTTCTGTAGGTGATTTGGAGGTCAATTGATCTTTTGTTTGAGGCTCTTGGTATTATTTCCAATTTTGATATTGCTGTAACTTAAATTTTAATTCGCTGTTTTTCATGGCAACTCTATATTTCTACTCT